CTGTGTGACTTCTTCCTCTTCCCAAAGATGAAAATTCAGCTAAAGAGAAGGAGATTTTAGACGATAGAAGAGATTCAGGCAGAATCGCAGATGGTGCTTGACAGGCTGACAAAGAAAGATTTCCCGGGATGCTTCCAGGCTTGGCAGCGGCGCTGGGATCGTTGTGTTCACTCCCAGGGGAACTACTTCGAGGGTGATGGATGAATTTAATACCTGAGATAAGTGTACGGGTTTTTATAGGCGCAGTCTGGAAACCTTTCGATCGCACCTCGTATAACATCTCTATCCATCGTACATGTTTGCGTACAAGACTACACGGCATCGTAACTCAGGAGACCATATTCCATGTTCTCAGCGCAGTGAAAACCTTTATCTCAGATGAAGTGCATGTTTATATATTGTTTGCTTCCATCCCATTAAGATATAAGTCTGTATATTTAACATACACATCCTGCGATTAGAGTGCAGAGCGGATTATTGGACCCGCATCTCTCAGTCATATACAAATATAGATAACTAAATAGTATAAGGAGCACTAATCAGTTAACGATGACTGTGCAAGGCTATTCTCTTCCTGCAGGGATGGGAACAATCACGAAGACGTTAAATAGCAGAGGACGTTCGGGAAGTATTTGTTACCATCCAGTTCAAATCATTTGTCTCTCAAGATGGCTGTCTTCTGTAGTCTGGCAGAAGTTAACCGGCGTTTCAGAGGTCCTTGCTGGCTCCATCATCAGGGCGATAAGTTATCGCCCCCATCACCCTGATTATGAAGGCGACAAGGACCTCTGAAACGTCGGAAAACTTCTACCAGACGACACGGCGTAACAACCCAGAAGACAGCCGTCTTCAGACTCCACCGTGAAAACCTCAAATCCTACATTTGTCTCTCCGTTTCCGGTCACAAATACCTGGTTTCAAGTATCCGCGGTTTTCTGTATCCGATTTCTGATTTGTGTGCGCACTCAACATGTCGGCTTCCACGCCAGAACAGAACACAGAGCATAATCTTTGAAGGCTGTATAGATTGTAGAAGAATGTTGTAGGTGATTTACACAGCAAAGGGCCTAGTCGTCTGGCTTTTCCTAACCAGCCAACCAGATAGCTGACTAAGGGTGGAGTTCTGCGCAAGCGCAAGACATCATCCCTCGCTAGGTTACACCATTCCTGCGTACTAAACGCGTTGCCGGAATCGGTGTCTTAAAACTTTGAAGGGAGTGTGCTCAGGCTAACGGGAAGTTTGTCGTGGCGGAAGGCCTTATCTTTTCAAACTAGGGGCTATTTTTGCTGATGGGAGATGATCTCATCAGGCAACTTGTCCTTTGTGAAAAGGATTTTTCTTGATGTCTCTCGGAGCTTCTCCCGGAAGCAAGTGTAGCCGTTATGTACCTGCACGTCCATTGTGGGAAAGGGCTGTTGTACCTTACAGAACAAAGACAAAGGGAAAATTGAAATGTGGGCTACAACTGATGATTGTTCGACGGTGTTCATTCTTTCCGGCACAGAATGTAAACCGTAAATTCCTTGGCAAATTCTTGACATTACTGAAACAGTACGTGCAGCTGTTGGTTTTCGTGTATAGCTGTTTAAGGGAATGGCGAAACAATCTGTTGTCGGAATTGTGGAACAATTCACGGAAATGGCTGTTTGTTAAAAGCATCTCTGCAAAGAAATGTACTTATGTTGCGTGTGATGCCCCATTTCTTTAATATTGTAATCGCGACAGAAAATATTTGTATTTGATTCTGAATCAGTTTAAGTAAATATTAGGAGAAGATGCGAAAGAAGAGTTGTTAGAATTAAGAGGGAAATAGCAGAGTTTCAGGAGAGAGAGAAAAGACGTTTCATTTTCAAGAACGGAAAAACTGGTGTAGTACGTATTTCGATAACACGTTTAGAATTTTATGTTCGTTTTTGTAGAAAATGTTGCTGTTGAGGTGTCACTATCCATAGGCCATCGGATGAAATTAAACATGCGATAACCTGTGCCTTATCTTCTAAGTTACCGCGTTGCTGGAAACAATCTTCACATAGTTGGACCGCCATGCATTAAATTCCTCTGTGAAGCTAAAGTTTTGTGATGAGGTGTACAGTGTAAAATATTTGTCTATAGTCGGAGCATTGACCTCCCTCTCATTCCGATGTAACAGTTATTCGTTTTATTTAATATGATTTTGTATTTGGAGCATCGCACTCCATTTACTGAAATATCACTTCTTAGAATCGCGAGAAGTTTGCTAAATTTTTTTTGCTTCGAGCAATTTCAGTTAAGATTATTATTCGAGATTCTTATTACCACATTCTCTGCTTTTAATAAATGGTACGTCATTTATGTAATTCCGCATTGTGTAAGCCTGTGACGAACGTGAATTCCAGCGTTGACAAAGAAAAAAGTAATTATTTGGTTCGCCACATGCCTGTCGTATAGTTCTGAGATTATATGACGTTGGTAGAACTGTCGGAAGTAGTTGAATCAGTGGGTTGTAGTTTGGAATGTGACGCATGCGTCCAGTTGTTTTCTGCGAGTCGTGTTCAGTAAATGCTACTGCTAGCGGTCGTTCGCCAGGACAAGCCACGTGGTCGTTGTTACCAGCAGCGGATCTGTCTCGCTTAGTGTTCCATTGGATGTCCCTGAGAGTGGCTGTTGTTACTGGCTGGAGATAGGGAACATCTGGATCGCGTATAGGCCCCATATTTGACCACAGATCATCACCTGCATGTGCCAGCAGCAATCTGAGGACTTTTATCGATCATTCCAGTACTAGATCATGTGTTTCGTGTGAACTTTTAACTATTTAGATTTTTTTATTAACTCAGTGCTGGTCGTTCTAACTTTCGGCTGTTTTTTCTGTCAGTATTTTGAAATGGAGAGGTGAGTACATTTTTTTTAGTTTTTACTTATGTAGTTGGGGACATATTGTAAAGAATATATGCGGACGTTTTGTTTGAGAGCGTGTTTCTTCCGAGGTTCTGATCGAGCCATATGGAATCTTTGTGTTTACCACGTGAATTAATTTTTAATTCGCGCTCATATTGTATATTTCCAGAATAAAGTTACCACGTGGCTTCCCAATAAACCAGCTGTGTACATAAGTACTTGCCTTACAATGTTGAACTTTGGTCTTGTGCAGGGACCGTTTGAAACTCAACAGAAAAGGCTTATCGTAATGTTTGCTTACCCGCATTTCATGTGAACTATGGACATCTTTAATTCACACAGGCCATCTTTTATAAATACGTCATTCAGATTTTAAAAACATATTTTCCGTGCTATTTTTTGATGCCGGTTCCATTCACACCAAATTAAGTTACAATTATCTTCGTGGATCGTGATGAAAGCCCCGCTACCAAAATCACCAGCGTCATCGCAGTAATGATAATAATATATGGATATTCGGAAATGACCGACACCAGTTTGTCCCCAGTTAGTAAAAGGATTGCTCAATCAGTAATTAGACTGGATTTGTGCTGTTGTGTGGAGCATGTAACTTTACATAGCATTTCGCCATATTAAGTGGTCATTTGTATAACTGCTGTAATCTTTGAAAACAAACTCAGTAAATTTATCGCACTGTATTTTAAGCCGAGTTGGTCGGTTCGTATTGCTTTCTGCAGCAGATACATTTGCAGTGGCGGCGGAACCAATCGTGAGGCCCTGGAAGAGACTGATTAGCCAGGCTCCTTAAGAGGAAAATAAAATTTTATGTAGTTTTAGTTATTGTACTTTTAACAATTCCGAAAGCGCCTCTCTAGAACCGGCTGGCCCGATACGTGGTGTAATTTTATGGAAGCGTTTTAAAACATTGTAGTTTACTCTCCACAGGCATTTATCGAAAAACTTTACCAGTTCCGATCTCAGATAAAAGAACATGTACAAGGTAAACCAAAGAAACAGAGTAAGGAGACCTCCGATTATCCGACCTTCGTATACCTCCGACGTCCCTTTCTATCCGACGTGCTGTGTCCTGGGGGATTTAATTCTATTGAGACCGCACTTGCTTTCGTAGAAGAAATGTGGGGGCTACAGGGACAGACGTACTTCTTGTACAGGCGCTGGCGTGACCTTGCCACAAAGAAAAGGAAGGAGGCTCAAAACCAAATACCCGTTATTAATTTATAAAAACAACTTTTATATACAAAATGTCGACAACTATTTTGTTTGTGAGATTTTTTTTTCATTTGATGCCATGTTGTATTTTCTTCGCAATTTAATAATAGCGGCACTCGAGTTATAAATTGAGTTCATGTTCACCTTCGTCTTTTTCATTTCGTATTCGAGCATTTTCGATTTTCTGGCCGGGACTCTACTGTACACGCATTTCTTGTTTTTGTATTCACAATTTGATGGACTGTGGAAGTTTCTTTCAGGACACATAAACGTCTGTAATATGGACTTTTATTAGTCAGCCTGTGATAACGCCAAATGGTGTATTATGAAACTCTTGGTTCATCAACGTTATACCGAAGACTTTTAGTTCAGGTCGTATCTTCATACCATAGTTTGTTAACATCCTGTTTAACATGTAATTTGACTGGCCGCTTGCTGCTGTCTGCTGTGTAGAAACACGCGGATATAAAGATTAAAATCCTTTTATGAGAGTCACCGAACGTCGTGGTTGAGTTCACTTCGTATTCGGGAGATACCAGGTTCTCAAATCTCGGCCCGGACATCGGCTATCATTACTGGAGTAATTCGTGGTTTTCCTCAGTACCTCAATTCAAATCCTGGGGTGTAGTGTCTTAAATTAGGCCACGACCGCTTCCTTCCACGTCCTTTCAAATTCATTGTTCTCTATCCTCTCATTCGGTTTCTTAGTTACGGGCGTTTTGGTAGTGCATTACACCGACCCTCCTGCGATTTCGGAATGGCGTGTGCATCAAATTTTGCCAAAGCCTCGCCAAAACGGCTACGGAAACCTATGAAATGCTAAAGCAAGCATTTGGGGAGTCCGCAATGGGTCGTGCACAAACTTTTGTGTGGCATTCACGTTTTAAAAATGGCCGAACCTCTGTCGATGATGACGAGCGTTCTGGACGACCATCTTCGAGCACAACGCCCGAAACTGTTACGAAGATCGACGTCGTACCATCAACGTCTTGTGCGACATTGTTGGGATAGGCTATGGGACCTGTCCGCTGATTCTAAAGGAAGAACTCCACATGCGACGCATCATGACAACGCACCAGCGCACACCGCCTTCAAAGTTCGGCAGTTTTTGGCCTCAAACACCATGGCCGTCATCCCGCACCCTCCTTATTCGCTGTGTGACTTCTTCCTCTTCCCAAAGATGAAATTTCAGCTAAAGGGAATTAGATTTGAGACGATAGAAGAGATTCAGGCAGAATCGCAGATGGTGCTTGACAGGCTGACAAAGAAAGATTTCCAGTGATGCTTCCAGGCTTGGCAGCGGCGCTGGGATCGTTGTGTTCACTCCCAGGGGAACTACTTCGAGGGTGATGGATGAATTTAATACCTGAGATAAGTGTACGGTTTTTTTTTTAATTTTATACGCGCAGTCTTGAAACTTTCCGATCGCACCTCGTATAGTCTGAGCTTATGAAAAAGCGTCGTTTCATAAATGTAAATAAATTTATGAAGTTGTGTAATGTCTCAAGAAACCACCTTCAGCGTCATGACGGTTGTGCGTATGCTTGTAGTTGGCTTGGTTTTACGATTCATTAGCTACAGCGTCCAACGGGTGTGGTGGTATGATTGTGGACGAACTGTCGTGGCCTATTTGAAGATAAATGTCCCTTACTCTTACGGAAGAAGGTGGGAAAACCGACGAGAAACTTGTCAGATGATTGGTGCGGATGTAATTCGAACAGATTTTCGAATGAATGTCATCCCTTATCGCGGCGTCTAGCCGCCACATACTTCTGTGGTGGGGACTGCTACATTGGTGAACGTGTAATGAAAACATAGCGGAGATGGCTCTGAACATAGCTGAAAGTTCTTCCCGGAACTTTTTGTAATGTTTAGTCTTTCCTTATGCTTCATGTTTTTGTAAGTGGTTCCTGTCATTGCGTCGAATAAGGTGAAGTTATTGTTCTGTATGTGATGAATCAGAACGATTCTAAATTAACATTTAACTCGTTGAAGCCTCCTTGATTTAACTGCATTCATAGCACAGAGAAGAATGCGGCTTGTGAAGTTTCTCGTCGTGCACTTTTCCTTATTTTTCATTCTGGTTCACAAGGTGATCATCACAAAGTTTTCATATACAGTAGATTCCGGTTGATTGGGGCATCGGTTAATCGGGGCAGTCGTTTACTTGGGACTACTCTTAAAGAACAAACCTTTTTAAATCTTTACGTGGAACTTTGCATAATTGGGCCAAAGTGTTCTAGTCCCGATGTGTCCGAATTAACTGGAATCTACTGTACTTAAAGTGCCTCATAATGAAGATTGTAATGAGAGTAAGTTCCAGCGTTCAGCAGCTTGGTGGCGGATACTGAGTAGTTCTGGAAATGACTCATGAAGGCGACGTCTCTTGCAATGGCTTCCGTGTGTAGGACTGTAGAGAGAATAGCAGGTGACCAACTTATCAGTTTCACACGTAGTGATACGCTAGTCCCTAATTTCTAATGGACGTTCTGGAATAAATAACCAGTGCCTGTAATGTCACGTAACCCCAAAGCTTCGTCCTGTAATTTTTACCATACAAATGTAAGATCAGCACAGAATTTGTTTACAAATGTAACATGTCTGGCTGTAATGTAATGTCGTCATTGATTTCAAACTGAAAGATAAATGGACTTTGGCCCAAAGTTCGTTAGTCACCGTATTATTTTACATTTCAGAAAAGAAATTATGAACGTAGCAGCGTTGCGTGTTTTAAAATATTATCACATATTTAAAAATCCCTTATTAAGTAGCGCTAGTGTCGTTATCGCTTCAGACATTCATACTACCGCGATATTGTTTACTTGGGGAGATTAAATATGCAAAATATGGAGTAGCCACTATGGTGCGATTGTTATATATTTTGTTGTGAAATGTAACTCGATTCTGTGTAGAACTTGTTTCCGTAATGAGTTAACGATTTTTTGAGTCTCAGTTTTTATCGCCGATTTGTGTGTCCTTTGTCAACCCACTCATCCGTGCAAAAATACCGAAATTGTCAGAGCAGTAGCCAAACTGTGTTTGGGATGTATCTCCTGGAATTGGGAATTTGGCTCTGGCTGATGGTTTTCGTTCTTTTTCTGTCGGAATAATTGCTTGGTTTATGCTCTACTGCTTCCTCCCTATGTGTTTACAGCGGTGTTATTCGGCTGCTGTGCCGGCGGCACGACGCGTCCTTTCCGCTGTGTGCAATCAGTGCATTGGTTGCAGCGGCACAGACGCCAGATGATCTCATTGTAATTCACCATGTACAATATTTTAATCTGACACTGCATAACCTTGTAGTTGGTACAGTGCTGTTAGCGATAATGTATCATACACACTCGTCTTTGCATTGCTCTTTGTTTCTGTTATTATGTATTGTCGATGGCACGAGTTGTCGTAATAAGCAAACAAAATAATTGTCGAAGACTCGGACAATGTACAGAGGACAATTAGAAGCCAGTTACTAGTTTCGATTAGGCGCAGTGTGAGCTGGTGATTTACAATGCAGTTACATAATTTCTCTTACTAGTACCAGCAATTCATGCGTCGATGATTCACGTGGTTTCGTGAATGCTGTTTTTTTCACCGGTATTTCCCCAATCACAAGGTCGTGGGTAGCAATTTAACTTGTGGAACGTGTAATTACTTCTGCATAATTTATTGTAGGTGTTTGTGGCCATTTTAAAATGTTTTACATTTCTTGTATAATGGCAGCGTAACAGAAAGAGGCCTTTATCGAAAATAAGGTACTATCTTGTCGG